CACAATCGCCTTAGTCCGAACTTGCTGAAAGTACCTTTAACTTTAAATACCTTTAAAAGTGAGAGTTCATAATTAACTTCACAAATGACGTTATGTAGAAACGGCTCTGATAGTGCACATTTATCATCAAACAGGCGCAAGTTTCATCAGAAAGAGAGCACACACTGCACGTTTAGTTCGAGCCCTGCTGTTGATACTCTCTCCGTGTCTCTCCTCCCATTATTATCATTCCCTCCTCCTACTGCAGGCGCTGTTTGAACCACTGTCAAGCCACACAGAATACAACCTCAACACTTCCTGTTACACCTTTCAAAAAGTCCCCGCTGGCCAACAAGCCCAATAAGCCAGCTAAAAGAGGAAACATATCTAGTGTTAAAGGTGTAAATGTGTGCTAAAACGATTAGTCAATTAATGGTTCAGTGTGTCGTATTTATGACTGCAATACAATATCCATAGTTATGCTTTCACTGGTGTATAAAGATCTTACATAACGAACCATTAGGTTTTTATCTCATTTAGAATGAGCCATTTCTATCTACAAACACTGGGGCCCAAACGGACAAATGGCGCGACTATGTCACTATGTTGAAAACTTACAAAGAAGAAGAAGTAACGTTAGTAGTGGTATTAACTGTCCGGCTTATTAGAAGTAAGAAGAGAAATTTGGACTAATAGAGGACCACACGTATTTAGCACAAGAGATTGGAAAGTGAGGGGGTGTTATGCCGAATTTTGCATGCCTGCGAGAATTGCATGCACCTCCAAACTGCTTTTGGTGATAAATGATTTGAAGTACATATTTTATGAACATTTACAGTCATTTAGAGTTGTTAATATTTTATTACACTAATTAGAAGTAGCATTCCTTGAGATTAAGCAAAAAATATGTGGTGATATCCATGTTTGATCAGTGAGCACAGCAAAGTGTCTGAAAAGGACCTTAAGAGGTGGATGCATAATACTGCAGAACAGATGTTATAAGCTACCTGCCGAGATTTGCATCCACCTCTTTTCTCAGCATAAAAGAGTGTTACCACCGGCAAGGTGCATGCAATTCTCGGCAGGCATGCAGAATTCGGCATAACAGGGGCCAGCGGGATAATCAGAATCTTGTTTTTCCTCCTTAAATTTTTATTGCAAAAAGAGAAATAAAGTGTAAATGGGAGATAAAGAAGTATACAGAACTTTGATTTGTGCAAAATAACGTACAGCATATACATATTTTGCTAACATGTAATTTATAATATGGTTATGATAGTTAGTTTGTAGTCCATGTAGAGTGAATTACTGGCCAAAAATGTTACCAGGATAAAACATTTCATATCTTTGGATGTGGATAATTATCTCGATAAGCATCAAATCGTTAGCCTTTGAGTTTAAGGCTGATTTTTGTCAACACTTGATGCCAAACAGTGGATCCCTTCACAAATTCTAAGGTAAAACATTCAAAACAATTATGATCAAATCTTTGTCAGCAAATATGCATGAGTAAAATTAAGTAAAAGCTTTATTTCAGTCCTTTTTCCTCTAGAAAATCCTTAAAAGTCCTAATTTGTGTATGCTTCAAGAGAATAAAATCAAACATTTATTTAATATTTATTGAACACTTGTTATATTGCTATTGAAAAAAAATATAACGCAATAATTATTGTTATTGTTTTATAGTCCAGCCCTATTCGCCATGTTGTTTATGTGCTCTGATAATGCTACTCCAACACATCTTTGTAGTAGCTTTATTCCACATTCCAACTTAAGAGATATGAACACACACTGAAGTTGGAAGAAGAACTTCACGACTCAGGAAATGGGACCATCCGAGGAGCGCCATGAACCGCTGGTTGCAATTCGCACACCTCACCAGTAGATGCCACTAAAAATGACATACTGAACCTTTGAGAGATTTGTATTTTAGTTATGCGTCGATAGTTTGAGTGATTTATCAAGGAAAAATACCAATATTTGCTCTTCTCCTGCTTGTCATTGGTGAGAATTTGTAGTCATATCATTGTTCATTGAATATATTTACATTTCAACTGTCGGGTTTGATAAAACAATCAATTTAAATATGTCACCCATGGCAGTTTCAGTATTTCCCATCATTTTATTGACTACATGGATCATCGATGATTGTGAAAAAAGAATCAATAGATGCGTAACTATGATTATGGCTGAATTCCATTTAGCTGCTTCAGATTCAGGGTCTTGTCTTCAGTATTGCTCATGCTGGTTCACTGTCATGTCTTAAGAAAATATTCTGAAGTGAATTGCTTTATGTGTAACATACTACTAATCTTCTCATTTCATATCTAGAGCCAGGTAGGCTTTTTAGCCATCAGATCAGTAACTGACAAAAATAATAACTCAAGATAACATTTAAACCAGAATTGTCTGAAAACCAAATTTCTAAAAAGTTATATTTGTAAAGGATGTTAATAGTGTACCGAGTAAGGCTGTGGTCACAGCACATACAGTCAGAGAATCAATTTCTTGACAAAAAGGATTTTATGTTGAAGATCCAGTAATCGACTTCCGTTACTTTGCCGCCTGTCGCTGTGGGACTTGATGCTGCTGCTACTTCGGGGCCACAGACAAAAGCGTCTTTCCGTGGGAAAGACTTGAGAATCTAACAAAAGGCAAACGCACACCTACAGAAACACGTTTGATCGAGAGCCCTTTGATACAGCGTCCAAAATAGTATGCAATAACAACACATGACTTTGTCCACGGGTTAGATATATTCAAAATATATATAAAATATATCATTTCTGTCATTTCATATGCAAGTAACTTAGTTGGGGGTTAACGTTACCACCCACAAGCACACCACCTTTCCACTAGTAAACATAATCAATACAGTGATCTTATCATACCTTGCTGTAATATTCATGGTAACGTTAAGTTAACCATATGAATAATAGCCGCTAACGTTAAACCTTTTTGTAGGAAATCAGAGGCCTTCTTAAGAACAAAGTCTATTTTCTCTTAAAATATTTGACAAAAAATATATAACAACCTGCATGCCAATGAAATTTGTATGTTAGAAGAGAAGCTAAGTTAAATTAGTATTTAACTAGCATTAAATTAGTTATGTCATAACGGTTTATATAAAGTCTACGGTCATAACTAACCCGCCTTTACAAAACACACTAACATTACAAGCTATTGAGCTAATGCTAGTTAGCTTTCCGTTAGCTAACTAACGGCTGACAGGAGCCAGCTACTATTCTCTTCTTAAACCCTAACGTTATATTAGTCATACATTTATTACCATATACCTACATCATTAAGTTGGCGATGTTATTTTGTGAACTTAGACGTACCAAATATTGAGTTTGACTGACGTTAACTAAGTTAGAAGACTCATTCATAATGTTAGCATAAACTTACCCATTGATTTCTGTGTTCTTGGAGAAACTTCTGTCAAATATTTTTAATTCTTTCTTTTCAAGGTTACCCTGTCAGATATAACAGAAAACAAGTATTTGTCATATATTAGTTTAAACTAAGTTGGGTGACCCCCTAACGTTATATAATAATGATGACTGGTCAGCCTTGTCAGAAGAGAGATAGGGAGTTTTGTAACATTAACTTTACAGTCAAAGATTTTCATGATCTTACCACTTCTTTTGACGTCCTCCTAAAAATGGGCTGGAAGTTATTCAAAGATGAATAACTACTGTCTAATTTCTACTGTCACATATGAGCTGATGGGGATGCAGGTCGGTTAGGGGGACACATGGCTGTCTTGTTTACCCCTACAGTTTAAAATCCAGCCAATCCAGAGCCCAAAAGTCTGCATCACCACAAGGGGGTGACGCTCTGAGTTTTGTATTGATGCAGAGTGCATGCAGTGACAGAAACACACACAAAATAGCCTATAGTTCAGACATTATGCAGCACTATGCACACTGATTTTACCTTGATGATTTGTGTTAGGTTAGAAACTGCACATACAGTGTTAAATTACTGTAATATCCCTAAAATATTACCATATACTTCTTGTACTGTTTGTTAATCTCACATGTCACTATATTACCAGCCTGTTTAGTAATAATTAACATTAGAAAGGGTTATTAGAAAGCACACATTACCAAGTGGACTGCTCAATGGTAAATTGCTGAGGTAATAAAAGTGTAGATACCAGGAATAGTACAGTCAATCAAGTGTGAGTTGCTTCCTGAAAAGGTAAGCAGCCTTCACAAAGTTTATGAGCTGATGTATTAAAGTGTTTGATCTGATCTGAGTAATACCAGGTAGCAGGTAGCAGGTGGCTGACCGAGTGGACACATTTGGTAGCTAGAGAAACAAAGAAAACACAAGCAGTTGTCCTTAAAAATAGCCACTTAAATAGCTCGTTGCCAAGCATCTGAATCGACCATACTAAGTACAAGAGCAACCTTTACTGGCAGCGTGTTCTACGTTTGACATTATCCTGCAAAGGGAAATGAAAGCAGGGGCCTTGCCTTCCAAATTATGTTGAAGTCAATCGAAGATAAAAGGGAAAAGGTGACGCTTGTTAACAGGACGTCGGATCTTAATTGTGTGAACTTCCCTGTTTGACAATGTTTATTCTCGCAGGCCAGGTGCACCATATGGAGATCAAAGGATTGGAATTAATCACATGAAATCCTCCAAGAAAGAAGGACTCTGAACAGTAAGGAAGAATTATCTGGGGGATAAGGCAAACTGTGTGATACAGCATACTGATCATATTGTGGACAAACCCGATGCCAGACAAGATATACAATATATAATGACAAGTATCCTGGTCTTACACCCTGAAATCTTTGCACATTTTTATCTTAATCGCACTATAAATTCACTCATTGTAATCCAGTTTTTATAAGCTTTCTCTACCATTAAACAGGTGGGTGGATTTTGTGGCCATCAGTTGAAATCTGATATTTTACATTAATGAGTATGACATGAGTAAAGTAATGACAATGTCACTCTGCATATAGATTATCTAAATATCAAAAAAAGGACATCATACTAGTAAGAGACAATCATGAAATTACAGTTTTATTAACTTATCAAGCAAATAAAAACAAATATAAATCCAACAATGTCTAATACTGATTTAGCTTCATAACAGCAGGCTGACATCAGCTAGCTAGAATATTTTACCCTATGACAACAAAATCCTTCAGATTTGGATGCAGGTAATTTCTAACTAATTTTCTTTCAAGATATCTGCGCATTTAAATGAGCCCAAGCTGAATATTATGAGTATACGTGAGTACAGGAATAAACTGAGGTTTTTGTCAGTCATCAAAGTCTGGGATATCGTCATAGGAGTAGCCATGGTAGCCCTTCGATGCATAGTAAGCTATTCGTAGGTGGTAAATTCCAGGCAGGAAGACAAGAATCCCAATGATGAGGACAGGCACAGTTCGGTCTGAGTGCTGAAAGAGATAAAACATCTCAGTAAGACATTTATTTTAACAGGAGGAAAATATATTGTTCGTGCTGTGGAATACTGTAAAAACTCACAGTGACTCCGAAGTATCCAGCCAGGAGAAGGGCGCCAATGATGATTAACAGAGAGCCGATTAAGAAGAGGACTGTGGCCAGTGCTATGGCTTTGTATGGGACTTTGGGTGGGCTCCTTTTGAACTGCATAGGAGGAGAAATACTTAATTAAAAACACTTTTCTCTGAAACAGCAGGTTTTCTGTGGCAGTGCCTGTTTTCCCCACTCATGTACTGAACTGGACAGGCAAAATTAGTCCATAACTGGCTGACAAGCCACTTTATATCAAAGGACGGTGACTACATGAGCTATGAAACTGTCATGTTACATGGGTAACTGGAAATTATTATGAATGCCTGTTATTTCATGCATAAAAAATGGCCTGTCTGACGATACTCCGTCATCTTTATCGTTGTGATAGAGGCAGAAAGCTTCTCTTAGAGATTGATACAACTATGAATGAACAATTGTGCAGCTGAACAACTGTGTATCAATTAAAGGTCAAGTATTAGTCTGCGAGAGAGACTTATGTCCTGTGACGCATGAGACTATATGAAATACGAGCGGCACTCTCTTGGCGGCACGCAAGAGAATGACGGAATATTGCAATGAAACGCTGAAAGAAACGTTCGATTAAATTCACTTTATTTTTCCTCAACATTACATTACGTTGCAAATGTGTTGATTATGCATCACAGTCCTTGTGACTAAATGCTGATCATTGACTAAACTGTTATGAGAAAGTACTTTTTGTTGTCATGCGAGTATCATTCAGCCTGTTAAAAACACTTGCATATTTTTTTTGTTATAACAGTGGACAAACATTCAGTCATGCCAGTTAATTTAATGAAAAAGAAAAATAATAGCTGCATCATTTTGGTGACACACTTCTTCAGACAAACTGACATGAATTTCTAATTTGTTACATATTTATGAGACTCTATGAAACATTTTATTTCAATTAGAAACAATCAAAAAGATGGGGTTCAATAAAGAAATTGAATGCTTTATGAATATGAAATCCCCCACATAAAATAAAAAAGTTAAGAGTGCATACATTGTTATTACATTCAAAATAAGCAACAATATTTTTCCACTCAGTGATAATCGCATTGGTTTTGCACAATATACAATTCTCAAAGTCTTTTGGAAATTTAATAACAATACTTTCTTGCTCTGTCTTGCAGAAGCTGCATTTACCATCAGCATACAGACATCCTAAAATATACATGTTGGATGTATTTTGTGTAAAATTTTTCACATGTAGTTAATTAATTTAGTTTGTGATGCAGAAAGTAGAAGGAACAGACCACCTTTTTCTAGTATTGTAGAGATATTTTCTAATATATAGGTTGGTCTGTTGCTCAAAATATAGACTCAGTTTACGTAAAGAGTGCATTCAAATCTAAGAACCTCTTGTTGCTATTTATTGCTTTTCAATAATTCATATAATATCAAGTTGTATTGTGGGAAATGTAGTGTAGTTTTTGGAGCTTGACCCATACTAGGTAGTAAAAGTCAGGTAATCCTCCAGTGTTATGGAAGTGCAATACCAAAGTCATAAATTTGCTCTGATCCTAGTAATTCAGGGAGACATGGGCGTCAGTACAGAGAAAATGTGAAATGATACGACTGTGGAACTGTCTAATAAAAATGACAGAGAACAGTGTAAATAAGAGAGCATGTTGGGGGAGTAAAGCTCACCGGTCTCCATGGGCAAAAGAGATTTATTCTATCTTCGAGGATGTGGATATGTTGTATATCTACAGGAATTATTTAAGTTGTGATATTAACTCTCTGAAAATATCTTGCTAAAGCCAAAGATAAGGACATATATGCATATCAAACAGAACTTTATTCCCGAATTATACGTTACATCTCATTTATCTAGAAGCCAGAGAACCTTGATTGCACAGCTGAGAGCTGGGATTCTGCCTCTGGACATTGAGGTTGGCCGATTCAAAAATATTCCAGAGGAAAACAGAGTGTGTGAGCTATGAATTAACTATGTGAATCCCATTTCTTTTTGTACTGTACACATCACATAAGTGAATCGATTTTTTTTTCTGGAAGTTATGGGACAAATCCCTGAAATATTTTGGTTTTCACCATTTATCTATGATGTATTTAAGTTTGAAAACTTTGTTTTAAAGAGTTGGAAAAGAAGGCAAGTTTGTTTGTTTAATTAGATTTCATTGTGTTTTGTGTAGGTGTATTTAAGTATCTATATGTATACATATATATACACATATATATACATATATGTGTATATATGTGTGTGTGTGTGTGTGTGTGTGTGTGTGTGTGTGTATGTATGTATGTGTTATTATTATTATTCCTCTTCTTGTTCTCATTTCTTTATTGTTTGCCAATGTATATGATGAACCAGAGTTGCTGTCATTAAATTAACTTTTAGAAGTGGGTGAACTATTTGCTTCAGTCTGAAATCACAGAATAAGGCTATTGTTGTTGATCCAGATCAATGATATCATAATGCCTAAGAACAACTGATTGAGTTTGCTTTCCTCCCCTCCCCTAAACATTAAGACCCGATCTTCATCCAACATAGCTCACTTAGATAAAATCAAACAAGCTGTGTAGGTAAACTGGGCTTATAGGGGGTTACCTTTGCATTATGCAATACGTCTCACCTGTAAATCAATGTAGCCGTCATCATCAGTGGCTAACCGGGAGTACCTGACTTTGTTGTTCCCGTCGGAAAGGGCGTTACGAGCGGGCATCTTCTTCAGCTGCCCAGGAGCTAGCTAAAGGTTTGTTTTCAGCGTTTCAATGAGGCAGAAGCAGCTCGGCTACAGAAGCGACACGGCAGCCATCACCCGGATCACTCACAAGCTGTCGGTGCCAAAGTCCGGTCCGATATTACACCAGATCGGATGTAAGACCGTTACTATTTCCTAAAAGCGAGTTTTGAGAAGAGATCAGAGCGAGTTGTTGTGGTTTTAGTATCCTCTTCCGGGTTCTCGCCTCGGTCTGCAATGGTGCATTCACGTGCTCCTCGGATGGTCGTTCTTCTGACTTCAGTGACTTCAGCGTGTTCATGTGTTTTTAAGTCCGAATTTGGAAACAACATAGATGGTAGGCTACAAAAGATGTGTTACATTCGCTGAAACCATTAAACTATTGCTTGTACTGCAATTAAAATAACTTTACAAACGGATCTAGGTGCTGGATCAGCAAACTAACAAACAGTTATAAACTAATACATATTACAAATTATAAAAATATGCAATACATTATTCCACAACATTAATCAAATCTTTCTACCCATCAACCATGTTTGTCCGCCATGTTTCTACGTGTATGAAGTCAACCACTGGGCAACTTGTGTAGCCTACCAAGTTTTCCGAGTTTTCCGACTTCACGTTCACCTGAATTTCCCCAGTCGGGAAATCATTTTTCCGATTATTCCAACAACACATGAATGCACAGTAATACCGTAGCTCACGCCGAAGCGTCTTTGGACGCTGTAGAAAGCTCAAACACATGTCATTTCAACTGCTATGAAAGATCAATATCCTGTTAAAGGAATACATAAAATCAACCTTGTCGAAGCGACTTTATTCTGATTAATTGTTTTCCTTATGGTGATCTGCACCGCCCCATGTAGACCACAAGAGGGCGCTGTCGGGTCTTATTAAAATGTGCAGGTGACAGTGCGCTAGCTGCGGTCTCAGGCTCTCGTGGCAAGAATCATCTCTTTTTGTGTGAATGTTCATTTCCTGAGGTGTTCTCTCAGCTCAGCTTTACAATCACACTTTGTTCCCAGAAGATAAAGTTTCTGTCTAGGCTGCAGATTTAGAAAAAAAAAAAAAAAAATCAATTTCGTGTAATAGAAGCTGAGACACAGTATTCCAGTGCAGGCTGTTTTTAGCCAAAGATGCAGTCTTGCGTATCACACGCAATATTTATTTCACATCCCAGCATGTATATTTCAGAAAACAGAAAATTTTGGCATTGACAGAGTTCACAGGATGAGAATCATTCAGGATTATTTCTAAACAATGTAACTTACTAAATCAGCTGAATTTCTCCAAAAACGACACCTTAACAATTCACCATTATTCATCACTTCATTTGTCTGTGTCTACCATGTTATCTCTGCAAGATATTGTCATCTCTCTGGTCATGCATAGCAGTAACCTGGCTTGTGAATGACTGACCGTGAAATGGACAAAACACATCAAAATAACATTTTCAGTTCCCCTGAAATTAATAATTAAAGCTGTTGTAGGTAGGCATACTGTCTTTTTTCTCGCTTTTCCCCCCAAAATTGTATTTTTCACATTCCCCTGCAGGTCTGTGGAGAATTGGACTGTCACATAGACAAATATAGACTCTCCTATAGGCAGACTTCAGATAGCTGCCTGACCCTGAAGCTACGCAACAGTGGATTATTGTGATTCCAGGTTTCTGGTAGAGCTGTGCGTGGTATGGTCAAAGATAAATGTCCACAGGTTGTAAATAATACAACATAACACAGCTCTTTTCAGGAGCAGTAATAATAAAGTAAAGGCATATTCTTATTAGATGTGCTGGCAGCATCAATAATGTGCTCATGTGGCCTTTAAAGTACATGTTCGCAGAGACCGAGTCTCGAGTGATCATTAGTAAGCAAAGTGACCTTGACTGCATGTCCCGTTGTTGTAGTTTAAGGCCATACTGTTGCTCTCTGGAGGGATATAAACCCTAACATCATTCATTGTGTGTTTCATATTCCTTTTGTGTTTCACCACATCTGATGTGGATAACATGCATTATGCTGCACTGTATGTTCTCTCGTCTTGTTCAATTTTCTGATTCATATTTACAAATATACCCAAGCCTCTACAAGACGTAATCTTTATAAATTTATCCTGGATACAATTGGATTTCATCTTTGTTTTAGGGGGATTAAAAATTCTGGACTCTTTTAAAGACATTAGTATTACAAATTTCAGTGCACAGATGCATTTATCTCCCACATATGTCCTCTTCTCCTCTCTATTCCAGAAGAAAACCATCACATAAGCCACCTCAAAGAACTGACTGTGCAGACATTTTGCATGTGCATGTTGCCATCTTCACTGCACCTGTTAGTGACAATAAGAGAGGTAAGTGTTGCACTTTGCTTCATTGATGATGCCAGTTCCCTTACTCGTGTCTCACTGTGCTGTGTGACTGCATATTGGCTGCACTCATTAGCCAACACCAATTCTGCGTCACCATATTCCTTTGTACGCCAAATACGTGCCTGTTATCTAGCCGCTTTCCTCACTAGGATGTTCAATACCTACAATCAAGGTCACTGCACAAGCAGCTTACTCTTCGTCAGTCCGAATTTAGAAACATGACGTTTAATTTATCTGCGCCTCACCGCTGACACAATCTACAAGAGAGGATAAATCTGCAATTATTTTACATTCATGAATTCAAAATGAGTTTGCTCAGAATGGGACCACTGATGGAATAATCTGTTCGTAAACGGCCCTGCTGCCCTTTTTGTTGGTTACAACATTATTTCATGATTGTCTTTTTGGGTTTTTTTGCTGAGATACATGTGGTTTTTAGGATTTCAGTGGGATTTCCCTGTAAAATATCGGTGCAATGTTCTTCCTAATACAAATCACAATGCTGCTCAAGTGACATCTGGAGTTGTGATTAATTAATCAGATGATAGGCAAGGCTTTCACCGGTCAGAGGGGGGCAGACTATGTTGTCATGTTATAATCCCTGCCACTAGACCATAATGCCTGCACAGAAGAGCATCAGAACAGCTGGGCACACTGAGGCCTCAGGATGTGTGTGTGTGTGTATTTGTAAGTATGCATGGACAGCAGCAGCCCCCCCCACCCCTCAAATAACTCCTGGGTGTGACACTGGACTGTAAGAGAGCAGCATTTAGGCCATAATTAGAGTCCTGTTTAGAGTGGAGTTCTGTCTGCTGAGATAATTAGGTCTGTCTTCATTACAGCAATTGCAGATAGCAACACGACATGAGCCCAATAAAAGGCAGAACCATTATACCACTTGAACATCATGCAGTCTCCCTGTGGCTCACCCTTTTTACTTTTAAACCCAACAGGTTTCAGAAATGATCAAATGTGCCATGTGGGTGGAGCACAGGTGCTACAGAGCAACAAGCTTTCAAAATTTGAAATAAGCTTGCATCAACTAATGTAATTCCTTTAATCTTGGGCTCTCTGAGCCACATGCAGAGGAGATAAATGGTTGAGGTGATTTGTGGCATTGTGCCTTGCTTGCGTTTGTTCTCACATATTGAATATGTTATGAATATGCGGGTGGAATGTGGGTATGGATACGTCAAGGGGTTTTTATTTTATTAGTTGCCATGATATTTGGTCCAGACATTCATGTTCTCCTCAGGATAAAGTGTAACAATTATAGTGATCATGTGACTTTTTATCTAGCTCCGTCATCAAGTAAAAGTTTAAATTTGTCCAATATGTGGTAATGTTACTAGACATAATTTATAAAAAGTTAATATATATACGTTTGAAACTAAATAGTTATCTATACTGCATGTCATACAGGATTGTTTGCAGTTTTCTCTATAATCTGCACAAGGCCCAGGTTAGCTGCGTTTGTGTGTGGGTGGACAGCTGACTGCTGCAGGACACACTAGTCGAGGAGCTTCATCAACGATGACGAAGTCTCTCACCTTTATTTCACAATGTCAACTTTTTCCTTCAGTATATGAAAAACAGCCCAGATGCAGTGGTTCGGCGGCTTCAAGAATATGACTACAACATGACACATAGAGTAGCTGTCTCCATTTTGAATTTGCCCGTGAAATGGCAAGCATTTTATATTCGTTTTCTTCACCACAGTTCAGAGTGACACAAACAAATCAGTGCCCTGCAGCATGATGTTAGACTTTTTACTTGCTCTGCTGATTGAAATCTGTGCCTGTAACTCTCTCTTTATTTGTTTAGAGGGTTTTGTCAAAGTCAGGACCAGGAGGGGGGAGAAGACATCTCTTCATGTGCAATAGAGTTGAATGTCACTGTAAATGCCAACATTAGTGCAAATGCTTGGCTCAGATTTGTTGCCTCCATGACAGGAAATGTTTCTTCCAGTGCAAAGATATTGATTTCAGTCTCTTTCAAACTCAGCAGCCCGCCTCACTGCATGACAGATAATTGGTTTTCCAACAGGTCTTAGGTAGCATGATAAACCCTACAACATGTAAACATGCATATGCGCATCATTTCATGGCTTCATTATTTGTATTTTTTTAAGAATGGGATTGTTTCACTGGCTTGTTTTTTTTAATACAAAAATAATTACAACAATTGATCTGTTGTTGCGGTAAATACATATGGTCTCTCTGTGTGTTTGTGCAGTCATGCACGCAAATGTTAGGATGATTGTAGCTATGAAAAAAAGATGCTCCATTTGTGATATTTACGCTATCATTAAATAATCATTTTATTGCACACAAAATAGAAATGTCTTTTTTGTTGTTGTTACTCAGTGCCTTTTGCTGATGTGTACATGTATAGAGTTGAGTGAGAGCTTCAGTATCTCCAGGTAAAGCATTCATATGTGGACCCGACTAGAAAACAACAAATAAACCAACTGGCTAAACTGAGGATTAGTCCACCGTGGGAAGAAAGGGATCAGTCCAAAAAATTAAAAATCAATGTACTGTTTCTATTCCTGGTGTGTTGGTGTACATGTTTCTGCTTCATCTCTTCATCATAGCTTAGCTAAAAAAAAAAGAAGTGCAAGCACAGGCGATGAATAATACAGTCCCTGGTGAAACTGCAATGCCAGATAAATTGCACATCACTGTTACACCTCAGGCATTAACAAATGTGTATTGACTGAGTTGTGCAATATAGACCAGAGAGTCTTATAGTCTATGTACTGAATACATCTAAGTGAAAAGGACGCTCAAGAACTGTATATAATACCCTATGGCAGAATAATGATTATCTTTAGTATTAATATCAAAGCACTTATGCATACAATTTATGTTATGTTTAAATGTGCATTTGTTTTTAGTTATCATGACAGGATAAAGAGGAAATACTTTAGATTACAGCCAACAAATTACAGTGTAATTATATTGTACTGGGGGGTATAAATAAAATACTAACTGATTACCACTACATATACTGGGACCAATAAGTAAGAACAAGGGAAGAAGACAAAATGTTAGGGAATATGGAGGTAATAAGTCTGTCATTAAGAGGGTTTCAAAAATAACTCAAGCTGTAATGACTATTAAAGTCCTTACTTAGTGATTACTTTGTACAGTTATATTGTTACTGAAATAGAGAAAATGGAGTAACAGTTACAAATACTATATTGGGTGAATTACAAAGTTTAAAATATAAAAGGTTGTACCTTAATAATTAAAGCCTTAAAAAAGTGAGCTTTTATGTCCTAAAGAGCCATAGTAATATCTTTTTACGCACAAACAAACTTAATTCTACCACACAGAGTATAAAGAAAAAGTGATTACCTTTTCATCAATTCAACAAATGACAGGTTCATCTTTTATTTATGAGCAATTTCTTTAAAGCATGAATGAGTAATACCAGCTGAGGTAATTGCCATTATTTTTAAGAGATAACAAACCACCATCTGTGCAAAGCACTGAAGATGGGGGTGAAAGCTCCTTCATTAAATGTAAAATATAATATGTAAAATAAAATATAAAATAGCCCTTTTACGTCATAAGTAGGCTCCATTGTAGTTAGTTAATATTATGTTGGTCCTGTATGTACTAAATATTTCCACCTGTAATTTGGGGGATGTATTTAAAGCATTATCGATACTGACGCTATAATTATTAAACTTTCCCAATCACAGTTTCTCCTTTAGTTTGACAGTTGGCAACGTGGGTGATGCTCGTTAATCAAACATTTCAGAATGAAAAGTATTTTTGGTTAGACGGTGACCGGTTGTGATGACGCACAGGGAGTGATGCTGAGGCGGGGTGGGGTGGGGGGATGTGAGGATGAGGATGGTTTGGCTGTGGGTGGTGGGGATATACGAGGGAAAGTGGTTCGAGGAGAAAGCAGTGAGTCATTTGGTCCTTATCATCATCTGAAGAGACTTGGAGCACCTGAAGGTCCGGCGTTTTAAACCGGCGGACGTGTGAGGGCTCTCTGTCTCCTGGCGCGACTCAGCAATCACAGCCGTCTCCAAACGTGGCCAAGGCAAACGGTGGGCATGTGAAAATCAAACTCAAAGTTAGGTGAGTGCTGGAAATGTTTTATTTTCAAGCATTTAATTGAAGCAGTGTGAAGGGATATACTTTTTTTAAACTAATTATTTCTCATTCAGCTGAGGCGTTTCTTTGTTTGCTGTCCGTGCTGGAATAACGCAGCAATGTTGGATTTATGTCATTGACCACATGAGCTGATGAGATTAAGAAAAATACAGGGAGCCCAAAATAATGTCTACTTAATTCATACTTAAATTTTATTTAGGCTTTAATTTGTTAAATGTTTAAGGATAATGTATCTCGTCAAATGGGCTCTGTCTGAACATCTGTAATTTCCAATCTGCGGGTGTTGCCTGTGTAAAATAATAAGGCTGGGTCGCACTGAGCTATAAATAGTTGATTAATATGATGATATCCCTGTTGTTTTTAAATCTTTCCCCAATCTCTTATACTTAAATCTTAAATATGATTTCACACAACTTTTTATATAGGAGTTTTAAGAGAGTGTAGTATAGAATGCACTATGAGGTCTCTATGACTGTTGACCATCATTCAAGTCCCTATCTCTGTCATTTTATTTAAGGTGTGTGTCACTTTCTGTCAGGTATCACCTGAAGTCCTGCACAGCTTATAGAGCTGGGAATTGCTCAGCAACACCAGTGAAGGGGTTGAGATAACATCTGAGCCAGGATACTCCTGACCAATTAAAATAACTGCAGACACAGAGATGCTGCACATCTCCAGCTGTCCTCAACATTTTTGTGGATTCCTGTCCATCAACCACTTCAACACATTATTATGTGTCTGCCTGGAAAACAGCCAAAAACACAAAGCTTATATTTGTAGATTATTTTGTGGTGGAGAAATATGCTTGTAACAGGTAGGACAGCCAACATTTTAAAAAGAAAGGAAAGGAAAGTAACTACTACATGCCTTTGAGCAAGAATATTAAACAGATCAATGCTGGAACAAAGCCTAATTAGTGTGCATTAGCCTACTTTACCAGATCCATATGGATCCCAATTGAAATCCTATACTCCCCAAAGTCAAAGTGCCATTTAATGAAATCAACAGGTGCTTTATCTGGAGCCTGATGTGTTATAAGCTTACCAGATTTAACATGTCTTTAAAATTAATTATTTTAATCACGATTTTAAGTCTGAATAGCTGAATGAACTAATCGAATGAGGTTTGTTAGGCTCATTTGTCTTTCTTTTTTACCCAAATTGATCTGATAAAAACTGCTTCAATCCTTATTCCCATACTTTTATGGGAGTAAGGATACTTTATTTTTAATGTTAAAAAATCAATGAGCACTTATTACTGGCACTGACACATATGTCTGCCATAAATGCTGTAATGTATAAGTGACCTGAAACTCCTTTACAACTATAACCATAAATAGAGAAGAGCAAATGCATCCAGTCAATATGAAGGAACTTGTCTTACAGGAAATCCATCAAGCTTATTTTCTCCTCTTCATTGTAACACAGTATATTTAATATATAACAAATTAATGCAGCAGGGATACTTAATACTTATAAGCTGAGGTAAATTAATGTTTAAAAAAGTGCAAAATGAGGGTGTAATGAGCTCCAGCAATTCTCCTGTGGTTAAACTTGTCCCTGTTATTGTCGTCATTACCTTGGAGCCGCCGTTACACCCCCCCGTCCCCCCCCCTTCCTCTACTTGAGTGGGTGGGAGAAGCTCTCAGGTGCTGCGTTATGATGCCCACAGAATGCAGGGTTTGCCGCATCGTGCCAGCACAGGAGCTATAACCGCAGGAATAAAAAGTCCATCAAACACGTTAAACAGCTGTACATCCAGTGTGCAGCAGAAGGTTTGTGGGGTGCAGATGAAAAGGTCATCCAGTGGTTAATAGTGTGGTGATGTGCAATGAAGGAGAGGAGGGGGCTAAAGAAGAGGGGGCTGCATAATGCCTTCACCCTCACCGTTGTCTTTGCACAGAGATAGATAGATAGATAGATAGATAGATAGATAGATAGATAGATAGATAGATAGATAGATAGATAGATTGATAGATAGATTGATAGATAGATTGATTGGAAACAGAAAAGAGGACAACTCAGACGAACTTTTAATTTAGCCTCAAATAAAGCAGCTTAACAAAATCCGCAAATCGCCACATGGCCTCACTACTTTTACTAGTCCCATCTAATCTATGTTTAGGTAAGGAACATCCACATTTGTCAGTAATCTGCACAGACAAGATTAATCTCACATCTGTCAAAACAGAGGCGTTTGAGTGGTACTATGGCATTGTTTAGAACTCAAAGGACAGAACATTCAAAACTAAATGTATTCAGTTCAGTGCATTAAAAGTCAGAGGGAGAGCGATTCAGGCCAAAATTGTGTAATACTGCTCCTCCAGCACTGCTTTTTTTTGTTTGTTTTTCTTGAAATTAGATTGTTGCAATTGCACGGGGAACACTGACAAATGTTATGGGAATAGTGTGACATTTTAAGAAATGTACTTTTCCTGTGAGAGTTAGATGAGATGATCAGTATCACTCTCACGTCTGTGCGTTAACAGTGGAGCTAGAGCAGAATATTAGCTTAGCATAAATAGTTAAGGCCAGGGTAAAACAGCTAGCTGTCATAAGGTTAAAAAAATCTGCACATGTTAAAGATCCCTAATAACATGTTTTATATTATTTGTTTAATTATTATTTGTTTAATATGCAAAAACCTAAATGTAAAAATGACTATTATTTGTGGTTTACGGGGAGTTACGTGCTTGAGCTATTCTAGCTGTTTCCAGTCTTAATGCTAAGCTAATTAATTGCCTGCTGGCTGTAGCTTTATATTTATAGAGTGGTATCACTAAGCAAAATGTCAAACTTTTCCTTTAAAACCACTCAGAGGTAAAGGCTCAATATAACTAGACCTGAATGAACTCATGTTAATTATTTGTCAAACTGTAACACTGTTACACCTCTGCCTATATAGAGGACACAGTGTGACATAGATTTGTTTAGAGTTTGGATTAAAAGCGAGGTCAGGCTTATTTGATGTAGAGTTCAGTTGAAGAAACACAAAAGGCAAAAAAATACACTTTAGGTCTTAAGTCTGAGGCTGGTGCAATGTTGACTCTCCAGCTATTCTCGTTGGACTCAATGCCATCTAGAGGTTTAATGGTGTGATGTTTCCCAGAAGATTCAGTGAAACGGGCACCTGGTCGGTCCTGATAACAGTTTCTTTATTCCTCAACCTCACGTTGTATTTAGTCGATAGAGCAAGATGAGGCTATGGTCATATTGATCTGACTGTGATCAATGTGGCTCACACATTGTCCTTCTCCCACAGTCTTGATAGAAATGAGCCGTGGTAACACGGGAAAGAAAGAAATACAACCTGCAAAAATGAAGCAATGGGGAAAACAGGGGTGACTGCTGTGATGGATGTGTCAATTCTCTCAAAGCAGATTTGTCTGTCTCTCTTTTCAAAGGCGCTGGATATTGTCGCTGAATCCCGTGTTGAAGGTGAATCTGCATTCAACAGGAAGAGACTGAACTATTGCTCACGTACCATCGTACCGAGAAAAGGGTTTCTCACTCCAATTTTTAAGAATATGGACATGAAATTTTCTTCCCAAACTGCAGTTTTTTGCTCAGAGAACATGCAAAGATGTGTACGCCCATCTGTCTGTACCGTATGTTATGCATTTTTAACAGTGTTTTTGTGCCGGCAGCGTAAAACTACTCAGTTTTAAGGTTTAAGGTAGGTTTTGTGTGCATATATTAAACTTCTCTCTCGGTGTTTCTGCATGCGTCCTGTAGTTTTATTTTTCTTGATGCATTGCCAGTGTAATGGCTCATTTGCCAGAGGCATCATCATTCAAATTATGTTTAGACAAGACAGTCTTAATGCGATCATTACTCTAATGGCTTTTATGAGAAAGCCCTGATGTCCTTTTCCCCCTGTAGTGAACTGAAATAGGTGTGTTGTGTTTCAGTACACCTTTGCTTCACAGGACAGTGTCGAGCATCAGCTTAGTACTGGAACAGATGGTTCCTGTGCTTGACAAAATGACCCCAGCTTCTCTGACACAGAACTGCTCCAACTGCAGCCAGGTTTTAGTCCCAGAGCTCAACGTAGTCAAGGCTGTAGTTTTGGGCTTGGTGCTCGGTTTCCTCATTGTGTTTGGAATTGTGGGAAACATTTTGGTAATCCTCTCAGTAGTTTGTCACCGACACCTGCGGACAGTCACACATTATTTTATAGTTAATCTGGCAGTGGCAGATTTGCTGCTAAGCACCACTGTACTACCTTTCTCTGCCATTTTTGAGATTGTGGATCGTTGGGTCTTTGGACGGGCCTTTTGCAATGTTTGGGCAGCTGTGGACGTGCTCTGCTGCACTGCCTCCATCATGAGCCTCTGTGTGATCTCCGTTGACCGCTACATCGGAGTGAGTTACCCTCTGCGTTACCCAACTATAATGACAAAACGCAGGGCGCTGCTGGCAGTGATGCTGCTTTGGGTGCTGTCTATCATCATATCTATTGGACCTTTGTTTGGCTGGAAAGAGCCGGCACCTGAGGACGAGTCAGTCTGCAAGATCACACAGGTGCCGGGCTATGCTATCTTCTCTGCTTTGGGCTCTTTCTACCTTCCTCTTGCCATCATACTGGTCATGTACTGTCGGGTATATGTGGTAGCTCACAGAGAGAGCCAGGGCCTGAGGGAGGGCCACAAGACAGAGAAGTCAGATTCAGAGCAGGTGATACTCAGGATACACAGAGGCAACACAACTGTATCAGAGGACGAGGCCCTTCGCAGCCGCACACATTTCGCCCTACGACTGCTCAAGTTCTCACGTGAGAAGAAGGCCGCAAAGACTTTGGGCATTGTGGTTGGCTGCTTCGTGTTGTGCTGGCTGCCCTTTTTCCTGGTGCTACCCATTGGTGAGTATCATTATGTTCATCTTGTATGTGATTATTAAAGGATAATTTTGGTATTTTTAAACCTGGGAGCTATAACATATTTTGGTGTCAAAATCGTCAAAATGACTCATAGTTACAAAATGTTTTGGAATCCGTGCCGTAGATGGCTTCACCGGCAGCCATAAACTGGCTGCAGTGGCTGCAAAGTATTCCTCTGCAGAAATTGGACCTGTCAACATTACGTCCACAAAAAGTGCTTCTTTTTGCCACTGACAGGCTCAGACTGTCATAAGAAATGTCTAACATCATGGAAAGGTGAGAGCCTGTGTTTTTAATTAGAAGCTGAAGTCTCACTTAAGGACAATTCTCGCTCTGAAATCTCGTGAGAGGCGAGTTCTTGCAGGAAGATGACTTTGGAAACCTGAGTCAGAGTGAGAGATAGAGAGGAGTTTGTTGTATTGGAGAAACGTTCCTGTTCCTCTCCCCTGTTTCCACCGACATTTCATGAAACAACTCACCTCAGAACATCAGAACAAGAACTGTCCTTGAGCGAGAATTCTGTTTCTTGTTTTAAAACAAAGGATGTCACCTGGAGTTACTCGTAGGGATCCTTTCCATGATGTTGTTAGACACCTGGTATAGCAGTCTGAGCCTGTCAGTGGCAGAAAGAAGCACTTTTTGTGGACATAATTCCTCTGAAGGAAAACACTGCAGCCACTGCAGCCACTGCAGCCAGTTCGCCGCTGCTGGCTGAAGCCATCTACTGCACGGATTCCAAAATTTTGAACCTACTAGTCGTTTTGATTTGAAAATAGGTCCCAAGTCTAAAAATCCTTTTTTTTATTATACTTTAATTTTGTGAGCCACATGAAGTCCAAGACCTCTTTGGCATTTGTCTGGGCAAAGCCAAAGAAATCAACTCAGTATGATTTAAAAATATCATTTTGAGCCTATAAGTCATTTGTTTACATGATGAATGTTAAAGGACTATTTCGGCATTTTGGAAAAGGTAAAAAAAATCTGCCTATCAGCACCTCTAAAGGAAACTTCAAATACACCTTATACTGTTCCTTTATGCTCCCACGTGTGGACGTGTGATGAAACACTAAGAAAACCAACAAACCCACTCATTATCAAATTAAAAGCAATAAAATTTAAAGATTTGGTTGAAATGGGTCATATCATGTCATCATATGTCTCATATGTCATCATGTATTATTATATGTATGTATAAAAGTTGTTTCAAATTAGAGAAAGTCAACACAATTTGAGAGGAATTTGTATGTTTAAGAAACAATTAGTAAGGACTAATGCAAAATATCAGTGTCTTACAGTCAAAGGTTACTCTGTAACAACCATAATGAGGAAATGAAAACACATATAACATCAAATCATTTTAAGTGAATGTTTAAAATTAATATATTGCATGGTTATGGGATGGATGGTCGGGGGGCTGGCATAGTAAGACAGGGGTCAGGATGTGTGGGTTGTTTTTTATTTGTTTGGTTTGGTTTTGACTTGAGAGATTTGATTGAGTTGTGTGATGAACACTGGAGTGGAAAGCTGAAATATTCATATTTACCACAAAGGTTATTGATAAAATATAAAAAAGGGGTTAGGACTTGATAAGTATTTACTTCTTCCTACTCCTTATAGGACATGGAATATTTATTTATGTTGTTCATTTTGTGCTTGTTGTATTTGCTGTTAGTTTTATTATAAAATCACAGTCCGATATCAAAAAACAGATCACAAATGAACAGGTCATAGCTTGTTTGTTTACTACCAGAGGGTAAAAAAGGTTGTGGTTGTATTGGGATCACGTGTCAGACTATTTCTTGGCTGGGTGCAGTAACTTCCTAGAATCCTTAGTGAGCTTTAGAGGAAGATTTAGTTAAGTTTGGACACAGGTAAGCTAGCTGTTTCCCCCTGTTTCTAGTCAGTATGCTAAGCTAAGTTAAGCTGACTGACTCCTGGCTTCAGATTCATATGTAAAACAGCAACAAGAGTGCCATTCTCAACAAAGAAAATTAGCATATTTTTCAAAATGTCACTACTCCTTAAAAGATGCACAGAACAGTTGACGACCTGCTTTATAAATGTTTTAATCAATCACATTTCAAAAAAACTGCTTTGTATATTTGAACACCTGCAGTCACACAGACAACTTTGAGAAAGCTATTTAACCTCTCCATTCATTCTTTTTACAGATCCATTTATCGATTGCCAGGTTTTTAAGTGCTGGTGAATTTAATAGCTTGATCATGTTAATTGAATTCTCTGCTGGAGCACACTGAAGCTACTATCATCTAGGCGAGCCTTGTGGCCTCTTGAAAGGCGTAGTAAATGCTTTGACTTGGCCAGGTAGACTCTCTATAAATAGGCTCTATAAATCTTTCAGATCTCTGACAGTGCTCCCCTGTCTGTAAACAAAAGCACAGAATTTCAGAACGACATATATTTCAAGGACAGACCCTTCAATGAAGTGTACAGCCATTTCTTTGCTCTTTCCTCACTCCCTCATGTCCGGGAATGTCAGACAAAGTCATCACACTGGTGTCAGATCTTGATGTAATGTTCAAGAACACAGCTTGATGAGTCAGGTGTTCTTGAATTCACACTGCTTGCCAGCCTAATATGTGCTGGTGTCGGGAAAGGGAGATGGAAATCCGAACCAAGAAGATATGAGATATACCAAAAAACCTCACAAATCCCCCTGGGTTTTTATATATGCCATGCTCTCATGCTTGTAAATATAGCTGCTACGATTTGGCTGGCCTCTCCTGACTGGGAAATGAGGAAAATCCTCAGCTTTACCAATGCTCCATTGCTAATTCTGGCGTCAAACTGCATACCGCTGCCACATAAGTCTGTGGACAATTAGATTTAGTAGTGAATCACCAGGCAATGGTCTACTTTTGACTTGAAGAGTTAGATAACTTATTGTTTAATTTGGTTTATTGGGGTAAACATTGTTTTGTCATCACGCAAAAATTGATGGTAGGAATTTAATCATGTCAAACATTTGAAAAAACTGCGACTTGTTTCAACTCTGTGTTTATTTGTGGATTGTTCTCTTTCCTTCATACTTCAGGAAGCAAGCCATTGCTTATCAAAAGAGTAACTTCATGACTTCCTGTGGCTTAAGATGTTTAGAAATCAATCATGAACTTTGTTTCATCTCTCTCTGCCTCTTTTGCCTGCCTCTACAATTCCCCTCAGCTCTTTACTGTTTTGCACTATGGAACATGGTGGATTTTTATTTAGCTGCTTAAGTTTGTGGAGACCAAAACAAAGCTGAAAGGAGAATGAATATTACATTTGTCAGGTGGACAGAAACAGACTCCAAATTCATTCTAATGTTGATCCGTGTAAATAAAAATGCATTTGCTAGCACGTAAACCACCACAACTTTATTAGAGCACAATATATCCATGTAGTGTTTATAGCTTGTTCGGTGGCCAAAATCAATTCATTCTGTTTTAAAACTAAAATTAACTAGGATATTTTAATATATGTGGCAATGGAAGTCATATTTCACACATTGGCAGCAATTGTATTGGTACAATGTTTGGTATTATTGCAGGCAAGAAATGCCCCCCTCACTTCCTTACTTTCTTTTAATCTCTCCCAGCATGCACCATTTTGTGGCAGTTTAGTCAAAACCATGTACCTATTATCAAAAAGCATTCTTTCTTTTCAGAGACATATTGTTTTGCAGGTCATCCAACTTTGAAGGGGTTCATAAGCTGGGGTGTTTTAAACCCAGAACATGTTGTGCTTTAACTGAAGTTAACATCACAACAATTGGAGTACACACATGACAACAGCTAGTGATTTTCATTGATTTTGGACATGACAAGACATGTATTGAACAACTGCGATACCTTTTTTTCTTGTTTTTCTGTCTTTTTTTTTCACAAAATGAATCTATCAAGAGTACCGGCAATAATAGAATTGTTCTTTTTGGCACAGCTGGGTGTAAATTATATGAGCGGTACAGTCAGGCACAAAATAATTTGCTCTCAACACTCTCTCCACTTCTCCACCTCTTCTTTTGAGTCTCTACATCACAATCTCTTTTTTCAAAAGCCCACATTTGACTGTCAGCAGCAGCTTGCTCAATAAAGCATTTCACAAGACAGCTTCTCTTCTACCTCTGAAGATAGGTGAAAGATAGAACGATAGATATATTGCAGCCACAGTCAGCCATTTAATTATTTTAATGTTTCACTGGCAGCCACTGGATATGTGAAGAGTCACTTACATTTACAATGACACACAGGCCTGCATTTAATGTGTCTGTTAAGCCATTTTCTCTGCTTCTTCATTAAGGATCCCACTCACGCTCTAATAAAAAGCAGTGCTATTTAAAATCCTTAACCTTGTTTGCAAGTAGGGAGCTTTTTTTTATTGGAAACTGGATAAAACAATTAAAAATATATTGACTTAAGTGGATGTAAATGAGAGCAATGATATGTTTAGCTGCAGATCATGTGTTTATTTCATATAAACCCAACCTTTGATGCATCAGATTACTGGAGAAGGTTTGAAGAGCAATAAAAATGTAATCTAAATGATTTTCGAGGGATGTAATATTCAGTTAGTCAGTTTAGCACTTTTGTAAGTAACTGAAATATCTCAATAACACCTGTTGCTGAAACCTCTACTTTGCGTTTAGCTAAATACCAAGTGTTAGCATGCTAATAGGTTAAACTAAGTTGAACCATGTAATGTAAATGTAATGTAACCTGGAAAATATTTCCTGCTTAACATCAGCATGTTGGCATTGTCATTGAGAGCATGTTAGCAAGCTGATGCTAGCATGACTCCTGTTTTCTTATTTATCAAACTTCACGTTTCTGATGACAAATGAGTTTGTGTTAATGTTTATCACCCTTGTGTGTTTAATGCCCCTACAGGCGCCATGTTCCCCGCATACAAACCTTCAGAGACTGTCTTCAAGATAACCTTCTGGCTCGGTTACTTCAACAGCTGCATCAACCCTATCATCTACCCGTGCTCCAACCAGGAGTTTAAGAAAGCTTTCCAGAGTTTACTCGGAGTTCACTGCCTGAGAACGACTCCCAGACCACACCATCATCACCTGCATGCAGCTCAGAGTCAAACTCAAGGTCACAGCCAGCCCCTCACTCTGGGCCTGGACAGCAAGGGGGCTTCATGTCGGCTCAGCCCATCCTCCTCTATGGCCCTGTCCAGAACCCCTTCCTCCAGGGACAGCAGGGAGTGGAGGGTTTTTCCTGGAGGCCCCACAGGCAGATCTGGACCTGCTGAGACAAGCAGGGCTAAAGTGGCCAAGCTCTGCAGTAAAAGCTTCCACCGGACCTGCTGCTGCATTCTCAGTGGTGGGTCTCCCCCGCAGGAGTCAAACTGTGCCCAGGCACCTCCTGTTGGAAACCTTCCCACCATTAAAATCCACCAACTGTCCTTGTCGGAAAAAGGAGAGCCTGTATAACTGCTGTAATCCTTCTTCCTTTAGTCGCGACTCCCCTTTCAAAGTCACTGATAAGAATATATTTCCTTTTACTCTGTTCACAATACAAGGGATGAGCTGTGTTGGAATGGTGGCTGCTTTGAAATTTAAAATGTAAAAGTCTCAGCTTTGATATGATTCTGTGATTTTTCCTGGATGTAAGAAAGAAAATCTTGCAAAGAAATGTCACAGCCACTATATTTTACCCCCTGAAGAAGATGGCTTTTTAGTTTTCTGAACACAAACTATGGCAGAATACAGTTCGGGGGAGATGAAAATAAAGCAAATGTCCATCACATTTTGGACAGGTGTAGAAAAAAAGGTCCTGTTAATGCTCCCCTGAAGTGGAACAAAAGAAAAAATCCACAGAGTCAAGAGACCAAAAGATCTCTAAATGTTTACATATTTTGTATTATAGAAGAGCAGTTCAAATGTATAAAAATGTAAATAAGAATGTTTATATATATTGCATGATTTCACCAAATGTTTTAATGCTGGTCAGTGCTGTTGTCTCCAAAGTTTGCCTAATGCTATTCCTGTTGTCCAAATTATGTTGGTGTACTGCTCTGTACACAGTGAATACCAAGGAACCTTCTGTACTTCCATGTCATGTTATCATAAATTTGTATGTAACAAGGGTTTCATGAGGACATTTTTGTACTCTGTTTATTTTGGTTGATTCACTAGATATATACCCCCTCAAAACGTCTAGGTCATCTATCCACATTCCCACAATTTGATGTACCTCCAAGCAGTGCCAGATGGATGTCTTAATATACTTCTCTGGAGTTTTAACTGACCTTGTGGTTGCTGACCTCAATCCTGACCAGCCCCCAAGCCTCTTAAAAAATCCACCAGATTTAGAGACGTCAAGTTAAGTCACACACAGTCAAAGACATTCTTCTCTTAGGCCATACTTGCTTTAGTCTTCTTTTTTTTATAGTTACCATCCACAAACAAAGCACCCAGAGTCTTTATCTTGGCCTTTGTAAGATATTCAGTGTGGGTGCTTTTTACCAGCGCTGGTGTGAAAAACTTGAGTGTGTTCAGTTGGCTGCAAAGTGTCTCTCTGTTTACGCTGAGGCATCAAAGGGCAAGAGGACAACTTCTGCCAACTATATTGATTTACTTTCTCCTGGCTTCTTCCTCCGTACTACCAAGATGTTCTCCCTTTGTGAGTGTGAGAGGGAAGAGATGCAGCCAGCATCATTAAGCCATTCTACCCCTGCGCGCTCCGTTCAGTTGTAGAAGTGGAGTCGACAGCTTTCCCACAGGGGAGGGACCCGTTAGTGCAGTCAGAGTGCGTGTCTGTGTCCGCTTTGTCATTGACTAGCATGTCTTTGAACCTGTAAATCACACCGTCTCTGCATAAATGCTGTTAAGAGAGGGGCTACCAGCTGCAGCAATAAACCACAGATGGTACAGATGACCTGATTTACCCCTCTCTTTTGTCTCTCTATTGAGAGTGGTGAGATTATGAACAAAACCTCAGCCGGCGAATACCTGTGTGCCATGCTTTATAAAGATATATCATCTTCCAAATGCAGTAGCTGTAATGAATACCATAATTAGATCTGCAGCCTCGCAGGAGTCAGATATAGACTGGAACAGAGCAAGAACAACCCCCATGTGTTTAATCAGCATGTTCTCCAGAAGCATTTTCTGTATTCATCATGAAATTATTATAGTTATTATGACCAAGTGTGTAATCTAGATTTCCTCAGTATTCTTTTAATATTCTGATAGATGATGAACGCATCACTGAGCCCACATTTATTGATTCTAAAGAACAAATTTAATCATGAATGCTAACAGTTCTAAATTAATGTTCATGGTGATGATAAGAAATCAATTCGGATTGTGAGCATATAATAGTAGTGTGTGTTCCAGTGGATTGAAAGCATATCAAGTACTACTGGTGACTCATGTTTGCACACTTTTCCCAGGAGGGCTCAGCTTTGTAAAGTCTTCTTGAAGCTTTTTTTTTAAGCTTTCATCACTGGGTGAAGATGTTGACATTATAGGATTTCCCTCTCTGGTTTAATCAGTGCACTCATCATGCTAAGTCCTAATTGGACAACTGTCAAACAGCCAGGGGGCTTCACTAATGACAGAACTTTTGTTGATGTGTGCATTCACTGTGACGTTGTCTTGTCAGCTCATTTTACTGGAAGCGTCCCTGTGGGTGAAGGGTTTAAGGAGCTGGAACAACCAAATGCTGATCTGAAGCCAAGGCTGCGCTTCAAAACTCTGTGTCTCCACCTGGTGTCTCACTGCCTCTCTGCATTCACTCCATCTACTGCCCGGATGTGGTGGGACTCAACAAAATAGTTCAAATTAACCACACTTCATTTTGTGCATCAAATAGTTAAGTAATATTTTCTGTCAGGGTTTATATATTTTTTTAAATTTTAAGAAGATTCCTGCAAAGGATTGTGTAATTCGGCACTAATTATAAGAATGATACACTTCTAATTAATTAATTGCAATAATTGCTTAAGTGACCAAGAACATCTTTTGATCACCTGTTGAAGATTCACAGCCTTTGCTTATGTATAGCTACACCACAGTGTAAAAATTCTCCATCCAAAAAGTCCTGCATAATTTTACTTAGAGAAGTGTTACTTAAAAGTGTTTATGGCAGAAAAATCACCATACCCTACAAGATCACCCTACAATAATATTTAAAGATATATCTGTTTGTGCGTGGTATGGTTTTTCAACACAAACAAATGTGACATCTACTCCTTACTCTCTAACTGAAAAATCTTAAATATATGAATGTACAGATATCCATCCATCCATCCATCGTCAACCGCTTATCCTGCGTATAGGGGGGCTGGAGCCAATCCCAGCTGACAATCGGGCGAAAGGCGGGGTACACCCTGGACAGGTCGCCGATCCATCGCAGTGACACACATAGACAAACAACTAGTCACACTCACACCTGAGGACAATTTAGAGTCACCAATCAACCTAGGAAGCATGTCTTTGGACGGTGGGAGGAAGCCGGAGCACCCGGACAGAACCCACGCAGACACGGGGAGAACATGCAAACTCCACACAGAAAGGCCGGGGCAGATATATTCAAGTCAAATACAAGATGTGTTGTACTTTGCTGAAAGGTCCATTCTGTTTGTGCAGTGGAGGTTAAAAGTTTCCACGTCACACTTGGGCCACAATTGGCCTCCAAACTAGTTTGCTTGTCATAAACTCAGATTTATGGTGAGTGCTGAGAAACTTTCCTTCTTCAGCAGATGAAACAGCCTTCTGGTGTCAAGTGGAGTGGGACTTAGATGAGTGTTTATTATATAGAATTATATTCTTGCAGCTCATTGCAGTAGAGCTAATACTTCATATCTGTTGGATTGCTAATCTGTAACAATCATTGATTCTATAAGGCCATCAAAGGTTTTATTTAAAAGAATCTCAATCTGCAAAGAAACTTTGAACTACAGCTCTGACATAAATGTCACTTTGCATTAGTGTTAGGGTAGATGTTGTGAAACCTCAGGTACCTCAAAACTGTACAGTACTTAAATGTAGTTTCTACTCCTGCTTTTAATCATTTGCACAGTGGGTCATTAAGTACTCAGTATATCTTTCATGAAAAATCCTCTGAAAATGAAACACTTATAAACTCAACAAAACTGACTAAACTTAAAAGTCTGTGTTTCTCTGTTCCCTATAATAATAAGCACACACAATATATATATATATATATATATATATATATATATACAGGATAAAGTGTTTCACTGAAATGGGTTAGGGTTATCTTCATTATATTCATGCTTGTAAAAAAAGAAAGTCAGTACAATAAGATTAATTTTTATTACTTTAATCCACTGAAGTCAACACAGATAGGGTCAAATGCTGACAGAACCGATGATTTCCCCCCCACAAACCCTTGTATCCTACAAAACATACATGACTGAGAGAGTATCACACTTGCTGGGAGTGGGGCAAAAAACAGTGCTCAACATCACAACTCAATAACCATTACCAAGTCCGCAAATGTAAATCACTTCACATTATAGCTTGGCATACAAAACCTACACTTGACAAGGCAATGAGGAAGAAACAATCCAGTGTTCTACAGTATGGCTGTACAGTGCAGCGAAACTGAACACCCATTGTGGTTTGGTGAATACAGTTACTACCTCGAGTGAATCTGGTGTCAACATCGTTGGTGCCGGTAGACAGGTAAGAGAAGAAAAACTGGATATCTGGAAATTCATTCACAACACTAACACCGAGAACAGTGGACACATCATCAGCACGCTGTGAGGGCATTTCATATACATACTAAAGCATTTTTCATCAGGTCTCAAAGATCACGGTTCCACTTCTTTAAAGAGCCTTCATAGATACAGTGTGCTATCAATATCTTACAGAACAGGCAGGCAAGTAGTTCAATTCAACAAATACCCTAAAACATACAGACATATCCAACACAAATAAAAAACTGCAAGCTCACATAACATTTTTTTACCATTTCGATTGTTACAGGTGCAAAACAAATTCTGTCAAAACTGGGTAAATGGATGACTCCACTGACTGCTGTTATTACAAAGCTTACACAACTGCTGCGTGGACGTGGACATCATCTACACATATACAGCAATGATCATATAGCACCAGGTGCAGAGAGGCTGTCTGCAAATTTCCCATCTGGCTTCTCCATAGTGTCTGTTTGTATCCAGAACAATATACACCGGTGTAATTATTGGAAGCTTGTCGCCATGACAACCTCTTAACAAACATGAGGAAAAACAAAACAATGAAATGAAGGATAAGGTTCATGTTTCTCAGAGAAAATGTTATGTGCCAGTCGTTCCTCCCCTTCATATTCAGAGTGAGTTGAATGAGCCTTAAATACCCTTTCTTTTCCTTTTAGTGCAGTCAGCGCTTTCCAAAATGACTTAAAGTGATAAAAACATAAAACATTAATTTTTAAAAAGTAAAAGTAAAACCACAAAAGGAAGACCAAGGTGAATTGTTCAGCTGCACACAGTACCTACACAAAAATCAAATACTGCAAACGTCAGATAAAATTAGATGTTATAAGAAGCGGAAACCATATTCTACAGTTTAATCGTTCATGATTAGTATTTTTGTAGTAAAACAGCAATCTTACAGTGTAGGAGGCTTTATTTTGAACTGAAGGTGGCACTATAACATGACCACCATCACATTCCTACTTATATGTGCGAAATGAACAGCGAGTGCATTAAGAAAAATTGTAAACACCTGAAGTTTCTAAATACCCGCTCATGACACGGACCGCTTCTCGCAACTTTATGAGTCAAGAGGGCAAATAACAGCTTAAACATGTACAGCAAAAAAAGTATACAAAAATGTAAACATATCAATATTATCAATAATCAAACTGGGCTTAAAAAAACAGCAAAAAAACACTGCTTCAATTCACTTGAACCTTCCTTGACGATGGATAAAACAACATGAAAATAGTGCTTTCATTTTTCTTTTTTTGTTGAGTGTAGTGTGTGAATAAGAATGGATGGAGTGCTTTGGGTGGGATGCTGGGGGAGTCAGAGGTGACCAGATGTGATGTGACAGTGGTTAAGAGTGGCCCTCTGGTCCCTTGTTGCCCTGCATCCCCCGGCTCAGTTGAGAAAAGAGCTTA